TCAAAATCATTCGATATCCACTTCCTCAATTCAAAACACCCTGATGCTAAGATAGATGACACTTGTTTGCATAACAAAATAGCATTTTCAGCATTGTCTGCACCAGACAACATGTCATCTACATAAAAATCGTGTAATATCACTTCTGAAGCCCTAGGAAATTCATCTATATGATCCAAACCAAGTTGTTTCAAGCATCTTATTGCTAAGAAAGGTGCTGACTTTGTACCATAACTCACAGTGTTCAGAGTGTATTCTCCGATGTTTTCATCAGGGTCAGATCTCCAAAATATTTTCTGAAGTGGCCTCTGATTTTCTTCAACCAATACCATGCGATACATTTTTGCTATATCTGAGCAAACCACAACAGGATATTTCCTGAACCTCAACAATATTGACACCAAATCGTCTTGTATATTTGCTCCTTTGAACTGGATATCATTAAATGATATACCAGAATCTGTAGGAGCTGACCCATTAAACACCACTCGTAACTTCGTTGTCAGGCTTGTTTCATTCAACACCCCATGATGCGGAAAATAGTAAGAAACTTCACCAGGTTTGAAGTTAGATTCAACCAATGACATATGCCCTAAACTCTTATACTCCTCCATAAAATCTATATACATTTTCCTCATCGTTGGATTTTTCGCCAATTTACTTTCCAATGCTAAATATCTTCTAAATGCGTATTCTCTGGAATCACCCAACTTAGAAGGAGAATCTAACAAAGGAATTTGCACCATAAATCTACCCATTTCACAACGTGTCGTCGTTTCCACAAATATTTTCTCACAAATCTTGTCATCATCAGACATGATGCAATTCAATGATGGAGGTTCCTCCAGAGCCCAAAATTTTGCCAACTGATCATGAATATCCACGTTCAAATTCAAATTACATCGAACTCTCTGTTTTGGCACTGACATAAGTGAACCTGATACGACCCATCCCAGACGTGTTTTTTGTAGCACTGGCTGATGTCTACCCAAATTAATTTGCCCAATGCAAAGCAAGTGATAAAAGATATCAGCTCCAAGTAGCAAGTCAATTTGACTTTGCTTATGAAAACCAGGATCAGCAAGAACCAAATGTGCTGGTATATCCAAATGAGAAATATTCAAATTCTGACTAGGCATTGATTCACTTATCTCCGGCACCACCAGACAAGACACGTCACTCTCAAATGCATTTTGAAGTGATTGTATTTTTACGGAACACCGATGACTTATTTTAGACTCAACTTGATTTATCCCAATAATAGAAATATCAAAATTCTCCAATGTGATGTTCAATTTCTCACACAAACCAACCGTGATGAGATTTGATTGCGACCCATTATCAAGAAGAGCACGACAAGTATGTGGGTACCCATTTAAATCCAAAATTTGAACAAGTGCGGTTGATAGCAATACTTCTTCATGACGAACTTCACTATTACCAATAAATGTTGATCCACTCAGTGACCTTTCACCTGATTGCCTTGATACTTGATCAGGTCTATGACTGCTAGTGGTCTGAGCTACCTGGGGAGCTCGCTGAGACGATCCCTCTCCTGCGTCATTATTACTATTATTCGAGCCATTATTAGACGGTTGCCTCTCATAGTGCAAAAGAGTGTGATGTTTGCTACCACAACGCCTACACCCACTTGCTTCGCACTCACGACTAATGTGCGCAGCTTTCTTCAAACAGTTCAAACACAATCGTAATCTTTTTGCATGTTCATACCTAGAGTGAATACTGAATCTCAAAAACCTTTCACAATTTGTAATAAAATGATTACTGTTACAATAGGCGCAAGATATATTACCAACCATGAATGACCTATTTTTTGTACATTTTGCCTATCACTCCTTGTCTCGCCCCTAGAATTTTCCAAAGTCTCCAATAACTCGGCCTTTGCCTTCAAAAAATCTTTAAACTCTTTCAAATTTGCTACCCTACCTTTAGGTTTTTCTTCTTCCCATTCTCTCTGTGTACTAGTATCTAATTTTCCACATATAATGAATATTATTATTACATCCCATGATTCAACTGACTGACCCAAATTTTCAAGCGATCGTAAGTGTTTTGTAAGTGTATCCAACAACTTTCTCATATCTCCAGCGGATTCCTTCACCAATAAAGGAATGTTGAACAAAGCTTTCAAATGATTATTCACCAACAGAGAAGTATTGTTGAATCTATCACAGAGTAAATCCCAAGAGATATTATAATTCACCGCCGAAAATTCCAATGATTGAATTACCTGTTTCGCGTCCCCCTCCAAAGCACTACGAAAAAAATGAAACTTTTCAATATCACCAATCGATTCATTTTTGTGAATTAGAGATTCGAAAGTATCTCTGAATTCTAGCCAATTTTCAGATGCTCCAGTGAATTTTGGAATAGGTATAGGAGGCAACTGAGGTTTCGATTTCAAAGCTACTCTAGCACTAGAAACACCTTGACGTGCTGGTTGACTTTGAATTGATGACGTAGTTGACCTTACTGATCGAACTGACGCTGCATCATCATCTTCAGTATTTTCAACCGATATACTTTTTCCCACAATATTTTTACAAATTGCCATTGTTTTATGAAATATGCTTTCAAAATCTGACCCAATTTTCAACTGATTTTCCAATTCATCATCCTCAACCAATAATTCAATTGACTTCTGAAATTCATCAAATTCCGAGAGTACCGTATTCATTTTTGTCATACGATCCCTTATTTCAATTTTTGTAACCTTATCAATGCCAATATCTTCACTAGAATCAACAACATCATCTATAAATTTCTTGAAAACAGTAAGACGGCTTTTCAAACAACCCCGCCTTCTAACCAATGATTTCAACTGTTCAGCCATTTTTTCAAACCAAATTTTGTTTTTCTCAACCCAACTAAGACCAATGAATCAATAATGACCAATTACCACATCAACCCACACAGTGAATGCCGTTATTGAGGAAATATGGATAATGAAAGGACATGCAACGACTCACGTACTCCTGCTATACCAGTATCCCAAATACCAAATTCCACCTGCACGCTACGCCACTGGATCCTTCCACTTGTCTCGCAACCTTCCAACGTCGCCAATTCGATGGGGTTGAACACTTGAACAGGGTGGGTATCTGTTTTGTGTCTGTTGCTTGTCGTTTTCGTGGAATGCTGGCCTCGCACCCCCGCCTGTACCACCCGTAGTGATATCGGTATACGGCCAATTTACCGTTCCGTTATGCAATACAGAAATAGTTTTCAATTGCAGTTATCCAAAACTGAAGTATCTCTGCACTTTTCACCAACCAATGTCAACAGCACTCACCAATAATAATGTCACTTCGATATTATTGTCACCAATATCCAATTTGTAAATCCAAGAATCCAATCTCCAACTATTCACTATTCACTATTCGAGCAACAATATCCGGTTCGAATGGATCAAACTTATGTTTGGTACAGATAGTACCCCAAAAAGTGGACTGTATAAACTTTATATTTTTCAACACCTTATGAAGAAAAGACCAAACTACTTTTCCTTTTAACTATATTCCCAATAACAATAACAATAAAACCAAATACCAATACATAAGCGACGGTACACCAAACTCCGTCGTCTTACGTTTACTTCTCCCCAACTACTCGCCCTTCAAGACTCTTAAGAAGTAAAATCTAAGGGTCCATATGTCTCTAAGTGGAGAAAACAGTGGTGTCACATTTAACTTGATATAATGTCTCTGTGTCGTTCCTAACACTGTCGTACATTGTGGATCATTAACAAATTAAAAAAAACATTCCGAAATATCCCGGAACTTCCTATAGAATATATCATATACAGTAATATAAATTATAGGCGCTACTTATTTTTTCTTTTCAGAAATTCAGTTTATCCACCATTACAGTTACATACTTCATTTCAGGAAAAAAACTGATGGGTCGACTAGATTTCATTTTGTTGTAACAGAACTATTTATTATAGATCTTTTTCAGGTGAAACACACCCACACACGAGTTTTCCATATTCAATACTTTAACGGTAGGCAAAATGCATTCAAATAATTCTCATGCAGATACATAATCATCTTATTCTGTTATACTTGTTTTCCTGATGACATCTCTTTTGCATTCTTCGTTTTTTTAAATTAAATTGAAGTATTAACAGATATTCAGAATGATTTCCGTATATACTCTTGGTTTTTGGTGCATGGTCAGGGTCACTCAGGAGAGTGGCTCTGACATAACTGTCCTGTGTTTCTCCATAATCAAGATAATGGCATGCAGGATTGAAATATGAGTAGTAAATGAACGAGAACAAAAAATTAATAAGCAAACAAACTGTAATCAAACTGTAGACAGACTCCAAATAGTTTCTCCGATCTGATAAATTGTTTCTATGTAGGTACTGTTTTGAAAATTTGCACATTCATGCACTGAAAAAGAGGTGAGTGAAATTCCACTCAAGGTCCACGCAATAATGAGTCAATTTCGGTCCACGCCCGATTGAGTTGGAATTTCACCCTACTTGACTGTGTAAAATGGTGATTCATGAACCGATTCAATCAAATTTGTTATAAACATTCTCATTGATATGATAACTTGTTGAAATATCTAGTTTGAGTTGAGAATTTACTAAAAAATTTCAATCAGTAAATTCACTCACAACCACATATTATGCATTAACTCAAAGGGATTTTCTACAGTGTGTGGTATCGAACGAAAAAATTCCAAATATCAAAATGACTAGCATCCCACAACCATCACCTATACTATCCTAATAGGTACGATTAGAAGAATGAAGAATGTATGTTTCACACATCAGTTATAATTCAGATGGCGTCTCCGTAGATGTTTTTGTGGGAAAGGGATCAAAATCATGCGAAAGTGAATTTTTTCATTTGTCTTCAAGTGATCAAGTCATGATCAAAAAACGGAATTGTATCTGCATATTCTATAGTACATCACGATATGTTGACTTTTCAATAATAAATCTGAGTGAGTTCTGAGATACTTACGATTCTGCAGCCTTCACCAACATGACTATCAACCACACTAGTGTCATTAGACCTGGTACTAACCAACCTATGTAACAGTATATCTTGATGTAGCTGTACTCTTGGAATACTGTCACTGTTATCATGTTGTGTAGATATAGGCCCTCTATGAACATCCACATGAACATCGCAGTCTTAGCATATTCCAGAAATGCCGTACAAATTTCGTTGAGATAAAGCTGCAATGAGAAATTTGTCAAACATATTGTTCTACGATTTTCCAAAATCACCGCCAGTGGACACCCAAAAGTTTGTGGATGTTCATTGAATGTTTTGAATGAAATCATGTTTGGGTGGCCACGTAGTCTGGAGAAGATCTATAGCTCCATTGCGATAAGATATACAGGAAATTGTTTTGGGAATATATCGTTTGGTCTATGAAACAATTGGTTTCTACAGGAAGTTTCTCAAACGCACTAGAAAAAAAGTCGGTAGTAATTACCAAATGTTCAGTAAAATAGGCGCCAGGTGAAGAATGTGTATCAACAGAATCGAGGTGATTCTGAACAATCATTATTGTATTGTTGTTGTGTTCTTATTGAGAGTGAGCATATAGTAAGGTACTAGGAAGAATATTCCCTATTTTTCATCACTAATTGTATTGTTGCGTAGTGGATGAGTATGATGTGTTTAAAATTTTGTGTTCTGTATTGACTATTTCCAATTAAGTTGTAATCATTGATTCTACTAGCTTCAAAAATGAACAGAAATATTACCTTGAGCACCTAATATGAGTATAACGAATCGTTTGTGCACGAATGAAAATCACAAAGTTGAATAGACATTTCGGGTTCATCTTCAGGTATGGCGTTAAATTGAGAAATTCGAACATTCATGGTGTATACTATCGTTTGTTGAAGCCACATTCAGTTTAACAGGATAGATTGAGTAAGTGTACGAATTTCCAAAAATATGAACTTACAGGTTGGTTGGAATGTTATGAGACAATGAAGATATGGGCAGACATGATTAATTATCCCGTATATTGGTTATAAGATTCCGAAAACCCATCAATCATAGGTTTCTTGAAATCACCCCAGTGACCCCTATCCACAGTTGAAGTGTTAACCATTCCTAATGAAACACCCTATATGTATATTCACGGAAGATTTTCTTCATCTCTTATTGTCATGAAGCTGAAGAGCTGTTCCACACTCCACTTCTTCATGGTACATTTGGTCGATAGCTCCAAATCTGAATTTGTTCACATCATATCGATCAACATCTGTGCCATTCGTGGTGCTTTTATTGAAAAGTGCAAAATGGTTAAGTTAATCTGTACTATATTCAGAAAGTACTGATGAAAAATTCTGCAATACTCCTTACTTTCTTCAAATGAAAGTAATCAGAAAAGTTTTACATTAACATGCACGACAATGAAATCTTCTGAATGAGTTTTCCAAGAACTTTTGGCAGATAAGAACATAAGATTTGTTATTTATATTTTCCTAACTCCTATGTTTGTAGGTCGGACGAATTGTACATTCATGACGGAAACATAACACAAACCAAAACAAAGAAATCGAATTGAATCTAACCTGCATTTCTAGCGAACTGATTGGATTCGAATCAATCAATATGACACTTGAAAGTTCTATGCATTCAAATAATCTGTTATGCAATAACTCTCATGTGGGTATAATATTCGATTTTATATCGAGTAGAGAAGACTGAGCCGATTTTTCTCCTAAATTCAGATGATCAAAAATATACCAATATTGGCATAAAGATAAGGAGTATATTCATCAGTTCTACCAACCCTCACCTCATGTTTGGGTGGCGCGGTTTGGTGGACAATAAATAATGTTAGTTCTCATGCAATCGGAATAAAAGCTTCATTATTCCAGTCGGCCATGACAGTTTCGGTACGGGACCTATGAGATTTGTATGTATGTATGTATGTATGTATGTATGTATGTATGTATGTATGTATGTATGTATGTATGTATGTATGTATGTATGTATGTATGTATGTATAGTACAGAAAGCGACGAAGCGTCCCTTGGGGTATTGTAAACGATAAGACTTCGTTTCAATGAAGCCTAATATAATATGATGAAGGTGAGAGAGTTCATAATGAAACAAATGTTTCTTCTGCTGATTTGAATAAATCTGCAGTTCATTTCCTTCACTTTACTCCTCTTTTTTCATTTATAAATATTGACTAGACACAATGTTGAGGGTTCACCTTCATTATGAGTAAGTGATCTTAATTAACTGCTGTAATAATGTATTCATGGCATGAATTGGAAAGGATTCATTTGAAATATTCGAGTAACAGCAGAAGTGATGTATCTCAGAAATAGTTCAAAAAGCTGGAAATGTTGGGAATAGTGCAATTAAGAATTGTTCCGAAGACGCTATTCGTGAAACGTTCAATGAAATGCGAAAGTAAAATATCTCAAAGATTTCAATGAAACATTACACACCTTAGGTCATTCATGTTCTGAACAATATGTCTTGTTAATGTTTCTGGATGTATATATATATTTATACAGGGTTACTGGTAATTCGATACATTCCTTTGGTGATGTGATAGGCAGCGGCGGACTGATGGACCTTTGAATCGGCCCGGGCGAATTAAACCTTACCGGCCCACCTCCGCTATAGCAATTCATGGAATTTCATCAAGTATTCTGGTAACATATAGGAACAGAAGCGAAAAAAATCATTACAAATAGTTTTCATTATAATGAAACACAAAAAAAAACTGTCGATGAAACATCAAATATACTAAAGAAAAATGAAATAAATAACATAACATTCTATGAATGAAAACTAAAAATAAATATATGCGATATTTCTATGATAGATGAACAGCACCTTGGATCAATGATATTAAACAGATAAAAATGAAACATTTGCCATTAGAAATTGATATAAATAACCGAAAAGGTGAATCTCTTATGGATCCATCACATTTTTCAACGAGTTGAAAATTATATTGTCGCTTCCTATTGATATAGAATATGTCTTTTTCGCACCTTATGATCATGAAAGCCTCTAAATTTTCTTGACATAGAGAAAGAGAATTTATTATAGCCTATTCAAAATGAATTTCAATATTGAGAAAGCTATTTCACACGATACCTGCGACACTGAAGGAGTATGATTATACTTATGAATTTTCTTTGAATTTGGATAGGCCTCGACGTATAAATTGTATTTGTGCGAAACACTTCGAGGCAAAATCTATCAGTTCCAAATGTAAAAACTTTACAAACGATAAGATTTCCACTTATACTAGTTCATTGTACCAGTATATCACCTGACGAAGCTACTGTGTTAGCGAAACATGTCGTGTTTTGAGAATAATTTTGTGGAAATCTTATCGTTTGTGAAGTTTTTATATTTGCCATGGCAACGGCCGAGTCAATTCTAAATCTATCAGTTCCATTTGAAAACTGTCAAGGCTTATTCCATCAGCAGGATAATAATTATTGACCTTTTCATAATCCTTCCTAGTTGAGTTTTCAGTTGATATTATTTGATTATCAGTGAATCCTTATATTTAGAAATAATGCTTCTCTTTGCATGGTACAGAACGTTTGATGTAGCTTTCTTTGAGAAATTCAATGTTTCCTGTTCATCTCCAAAAGGTGAACTTCCAGGGTTCAAAAGTTAGTGTTTCGAGAAACTGCTGTATATTTTTTCCACCTCTCAACAAGAATTCATATCAACACTATCGTCTTATGTTTGGAATAAAAAAACTCCAGAAATAATTCAGGTAATAGATAAGTTGTAAGTAAAAAGTCGTATTTTTGTTTGTTGATTGAGAATTTCAACATTATGTAGCGGTTATTTACAGAAAAATCTCTAAGCCACATTTGTCAAAAATTTTTCAAAACTTCCTTGATGCAATAGCTATCTACTGGGTACAAATGATGATAAAAGTGCTCGATACGGGTTTGTTATTTTTAATGAAAATTAATAACGTACTTAAAACACTTCCACTATTAGTAGTATTGCGAATACATGCTCGGCAGCGTCTTCTCATTACCGTTTTTGTAATTCTAGTTGTCAAATCATTTTGTATATTTAGGGCAGTGTCGGTTATCATTTCTATGATTTCTTCCCGAATATTTACTGGAGCTTCATTAACTAGCGCTTCCACATGACCCTACTCATAATGGTCAAGGAGGGTTAGGTCAGGGCTTCGCGTTGGCCAACCTATTTGACCTGAACTTCTAATCCAACGGTTCAGAAAACGTTCATCTAGGAACTGCCGAACAATCAGCTGATAACGCGCTTAACAACAGTCTTGTTGGAATTTCATGAGTCGTCTGATTGCGAAAGTATAATCCTCAAGAGCCTCCTGTAGATCAATCCGTAGAAAATTTCCATACATTTCCCCGTTCGAATTGTCTAAGGAAAAATGTGGTCCTGTAAAATAATTGTCAATGAGTCCCATCAACACATTAACAGAAAACTCCCGTTGGGAAATAGTTTCCCTTATTGAACGAGGGTTCTCTTCGGCCCAATGATGAAGGTTAGGAACATTTGTTCATATGGATAACTCGAGCAAAGAAACTAAAATAAAAACTGACGATAATGAATGCTGACAGGCATTTTTCAAGTGTGTTCAATACTAATCCATTGAAATAAATCCGTATCAAGCACTTTCAGTTCCATCTTTACCCAGTTAGGTGAGGAAGTTTTAACAAATTTTTGACAAATGTGGCTCAGAGATTTTTCTAAAAATAACCGCTAGAATGTGATTGAAATCGACAATCCACAAACAATAATACGACTTTGTATCTGAAATTCATCTATAATCTGAATAATTCCTGGGATTTTGTCATTCCAAACATGAGACCATAGTGTTGACCATGTATTCTAGTTGAAAGTTTGAAAACTAACATTATATCCCTTGAAGTCTAACCTTTACATAAAAAACCTGAAGAAATTAGATATCTCAGGAACTATCAACTTTTGCATGATGCATATTAGGGTTCAATTCACTCGTAACCACATTTTCTTTCACATCTCCAAAGGAATGTATCGAATTACCAGTAACCCTGAATATAGTTGAAATTTTATAATTGTTTCGTAACATTCACGTTCCTGAGATGCAATTTGGTTCACTGGGATCATTCAGGGTAGTCGGTTCCATCGTTTGTGAGTTTATATTTCATGAACTGAATTGATTCTATCTAAGTTCAGTTGTTATTTTTTAGAC